GCTGTATAAGAACTGAATATGAAGTGCTAATTAAACGCTTTGTTAAACCATATTTAAGAATTTTATTGTCACTTAACTACAAAAGTATTGGTAGAGGAACACACACGTGGTGAATTACCACAGCATCCATCAAGTTTTAGTTACATCAGTAATGCGATGAATAAATGAGAACTAGTTTATTGGATAAACCTGCACTGTCCCAAAACCTTTGACCCTGTTTTTCCCTGAAATTCTTGAAAAACAAAATAAAAAATAATAAAAAAAAGAAAATTAACCTGTCAAGAGGTAAAAAGTAAAACTGTGCCGTAGATTAGAAACTCACAAAGACTGAAAAGGATTAAAAGATTAATTTGTTGCAGCAAAAGTTATCAGAACAGGGTCACGAGTTTATCTGATGGCTTAAATCAAGTATATTCATTTATGACCTAGGAAGGGATGCAAAAATAACACAAGAGTATTTGCCAATGTCTTAAAGTTCTTCCAAATTATTAAATAAGGAAGAAAACAAGACAGTATAGACTATCCGCTTGCCTTACGAGGTTACCCCCACTATAATGCCCTTTGAAGAAAAGAACCCTACTATCAACTTTGCTCTTTACAGCAAAGAGCAAGGGAAAAGTGTTCATCTTAAAAGGCATCCCACAGCTAAGCACTATCCTATACACTCCACTTGACTTTACAGCCAGCATCAATTAATTTAACTTCCTCTTTCCCTTTTCAGTCTATATTGCCCCCCAAGGTGATGGAGCTTCCCAGAGGAGCCCCATAAATTTAGAAAGGAAACCCATGATGTGGCCTCCTGCAATTAGGCCATTAAACTTACACACTCAAATGCCTTCTAGCCCCAAAAAATTCCAAGAGTGACACTATCTTTGTCAAATGCCAGTTCAGAACTCATTTGTCATAAGGACATTACATAATTTAGCCACAGCTCGGTAGTTGGCCTGATGACACCAAATTAATCCTGATGATTCTTCCTTTCTCCACCACTTTATTATTAAAAGGACAGATAAAATATACTGTGAGTGCTTAAAGCCAAAGAGAGTTGGCTTGATTTCATTTTTCATTTTGCACATATAATACCAAACCCAGCAATCTCCTGCCCTTTTCCAAGGCCTCTGACAAAATAACTAAAATCCAGTCAGACTTCCAAGAGGACAAGGTACCAGTGCGCATGTGGCAGCCAGAATTCAGTATTAATGACATTATTCTAACTTTTAAGTACATTTGGAAGTTGTTAAGTTCAAAAGTAATGGTCCCCACGCACAAGAGATGAAGGTGTCTTTGTTGACAGCTCAGTAAATATTGCCTTTTATTGAGTGCTGCTGAGAAAACAATATTGTTAGGTTGCTGTTTGCAAAACAGAGAATGCTCTGGTGGCATTCTGTGTGTGAATGAGATCTCTCTCCCTTACAACACAGGTAACAGTTACCTTATTTCAATATATTCATAAAAATAGGAAGAATTTAAGAAAGATTATCAAAAATAACTAAAACCATAGGTCCTAAATAAGGACCCCATAAGGAAGGCACTGTTATGGTGATCCAATAGAGAGATATTCCATAAAAATAAAACGCAGCGGATGTAACACTGGTAATGAAAAACACTTTTTCTTATATGAAGGTAGCAAAACATCCTGTCACAGAAGTCAAGAAAGGAGCAATTTCTACCAATTCCCTGGGAAGCCTGAAGCCATATTCCAGATGTTTGCTGCTGTAAATGCCAACACAAGGATGTGCTATCTCAAAAGCAGCCGTGCTGCAGCCGGTGCGTGTTACTCACGGACAACAATTGCTCAAGGCAGCATTTCACATCCTTGAAAACATCAGCGAAGTCTGATCTGCCCTGAAACACACCGCTGAGCTCATAACACCACCAAATCCCCCACCCCCATCATTTCCTGACTGAGAATTATAAACCCCTCAGGTACTGTAGTGGGCTTCCTTGTATTTAAAGCTTTTTTTTTTTTTTTCTAGTTTGTTTGTTTAAAATTGCACTATTCTCAGTGTTTTCAACAAAGGAAATATAGGAAGGTTAATTACACTCATTCCTTATGTTCTACAGGACAAACCTTGCTTACAGTCGTAACAGGGGATGCAAGAAGGGTAATCACTGGTCATACAGGCTTTTAAATCAAAACAGGCCCCAAAAGCTGAACATTACATGAGCTAAACTGACCCAAGGCCCCCTTTTTAAAAGAAGACTGTGCTGTAGCATTTAAGCACTTAATGTTTTAGCAACAGCACTTATATTCAACCTTGTCTTGTTTGCTTGGTAGGAAGGGTAGGGTTTTCTCTATTATTATTTCACTAATAGTGGTATACAAGAGCTTGAGCAATTCGGGAAAGGCACTGAGAGCTGGAAAAAACAATGGTTCAAAACAAATGCAACCAAATTGCTTGACATCCAGCACCCAGGAGTCAACACAGCTCAAGAAAGTCTGAAGAACAGGTACTACACCATATGACAAAGGGGGGAGAGTCATTTTAGAGCCTAACACATTTAAGACGGCAAAATAACTCTTTTCAACAGGTTTTCAATTTTGATCAGTTTAATATTCTACAAAAAGATGTAAGGCAATTAGTCATCCATGACTGTAAGGGAGGAAAACTGGCTAGGTACAGATTCAGAAAGACAAAAACAGGCATTTTTTATTATTAAAACAGGAATCATTTGTTTGGGGTACAGCAAGAGAAAATGCAAATATGAAGTGCTACAGAAACAACAGTGTAATACCTTACCCCACCTTCCCACCTCTGAATACACCTTGGATTAGCTGCCATCATTTGCTAATTCTTTAGGGAATCAATGGCGAGGAAGTGCATGTAGGCTTTGGGAACACAATGTAGCAATTTGTACTAAAATTAGCATATTAAAAACAAATTGTTACATAGCAGGAAGACTTAATTTGCATGAAAAGCTTTCAGTTTAGCCCCTCAGCATGCTTTAGAAACTAAGGAAAACATAATATTTGACTTGGACCTCCCAGTGTATTTCAAGCTTCAGGCCTCCAAAGGTTTCTTATAAATCAGCTGTGGCAACACAAATAATTTTTAAAAAACATCAATATAGCTGTTACCAAAAAAGAGATTTGAGCAAAACTGATTTTCACTTCTATGTAAACTATGTAACACTTAAAATATAGGCTATATATGAGTCAAAAATCACCACAATGGGAGAGACAAGAATTACCATTTTGCTACATTCCAGTTTGTTTTCTCCATTTGAACGCAGAGTAACAAGGCTATAAGGGCAAAGCAACTGGTAGACCTCTGACCTTTACAGTGCTGTTCTATTATTACTAATCTAAGCTATCTTGACAAAACCACTTTATTTTACCTAAAATAAAGCAGGCCTATTTACTGTTTGGCTTCTTAACACAGACTATTTGAACGCTCTGGGTTACAGCTTGACCCTTGCACTGAGCTGCTTTGGCACAACTGAGGCAATAGCAAACCATGATCCTTGCAAGGGGGCTCAGAAGCCTTAAAAAAAACTTTTCCATAGTGGAAAATGAACCATGTAATTAATTCCTTATTCTTCCAAACCCTTCTACCTCGCACCTTTAACCTCATCCTCATCTTCTTTCTCCTGTCTAATCCAGAAGAGGACGAAGCCTACCAATTCGCGCGTGCAGCAAAGCAGGGTTTATTTCAAAATTTACATGCACACAGGCAAATTTATTTTCACGTGGTGGGGAGGAAGTAACAGACCTTCCTCTTCCCTATGCAGATTATTTCACAAATTACTTTTGACCACAAAGAAAGCATGAAAACATATGCCTTGCAAAACTGCCGTATTTAGAAACTCCTAAAATACGCCCCGTTTTCGGATAGCAAGTTTTGTTCCTTTTTAAAGCGGACCTGCCTCTTTCAGCCATATATCAACACACCAACTTCCTTTCCTCCTTCCTGTCTGTGCTGCTGTTACTCGAGCGGCCGCACTCCTTTCCCATTCCCACACTCCAAAACCTCTTCCACGGCTGTTCATTTTGGCCTGCCACCCACATTGCTGTTTTCCATGGAAAGTCACAGCACAGAAACCTTCCAGCTCCCGCATGCCACGCGTGCCCAAAGCGCTGCCGGGGCAGCCCAGCTATGCAGGCAGCGTTCCCCTCTCCAAGCACTCGAGGGGAGACCAACCTGTTCACCTTCCTACTCGTTTCCTAGAGTCTCAGTGTTTCGAAAGTGTCCTCTTATCTCACCAAGCACGAGAGCTCCTGGAGGACGGGGTGTCTGAGAGGCCCGCACGTACCTTACGAGTCCTACAGCCTGCAAAGCAAGGCGCAAAGTACAAAAACACTTAACTTTCAAGCAAAACATCAGCGACGGAGCACTCGGATCCTTCACCCAAGACCACAAATGACACAGACTATCTGCCAGCCACCTTGAGTTGTGTGCGCCTGGCCAAGGCTTCAACTGAAGCACCTTTTTCTTTCGCTAAAAGATGCTCCAATGCTTCCAAATCGCAGGGTGCCCTCTGAATTACAGGACTTGGGGAGCAGCACTTGGGACTGCCCTTGTACAATGTGCAGAGCTCTCCCTACAAAGGAGGTCCAGCACCACCGAGCAGGTCCAGCACCACCACCACCTCGATCCAGCACGTCCGAGGATTGGCACGGAGATGTCATTCCTTCCCTAAGATGATCCTTGGCAACCATTTGATTTTGGCACCTCCGTCACACCCCCGAGCCTGCCTGACATCCCTGGGGCATATCCAGCTCCATGCCCGGGAGCCCTTTCCATGCTCCCACATGGCAGGGAGCAGAGGAAGGCTCCAAAACACCCCTCCTTAAAGGGCAGGGGGGCAGATTTGGGGGCATAAGGTGCAGGGAATGGTAAAAAAAAAAAACGCTTTCCAGCTGTTCCAGCTCACAGGCCCTATGAGCCCCTCCACCTCCATAAGGAATGAAGGGGGATTTCCCAAGGGAAGACGTTCCCGCTACGGGGCCCGGGGTGTCCCCGCTGCCCGGTGCCGGGCCCGCCGGCGCCGCCACTCACAGAACTCGGCGAACGAGAGCGGGGAGAGGAAGGGAAGGGAGCGGGAAGGGGCGAGGGAAGCGCCGGGCCCGGCCTGGCCGCCGCCGAGGGGGAAGGGGGCGGCCCTGGGCCCGCCCGCCATGAGGCGGAGCCGGGAACGGGGCCGCGCGTTGCCACGGCGACGGGCTGCGGCCTAGGCCGGGCCGCGGGGCCTCCTCCTCCGCGGGCTTTTTTATTTGGGGAAAAACATAAATAAATACTATTATTATCATTACTATTATTATTACTACTATTTATTTGAAGCCAGGAGGGGAGGGACAAACAACGACGCCGTTTTGGGCCGCCTCCTAGTGCTTCAATTTTGCGGGGGTGGGGGGGGATGTCACTACTCCCCCTTTTATTTATTTTTCTGAAAAAATAAAGCCAATTTGTGGTCATTTTAGTGCCCCCTTTCATGTTTTTTTCCCTCCTGGACCTCACCCCCATGCAGTCTCCCCAGGATTTCTTCCCCTCGTGCCCCATTCCCAGGAAGTGGTGGTTGCAGAGCCCACAGGGATGGCATCACTTTCAATATGTATTTTTAAACTGCTCCCCACTGTGTATTTATTGCACTTCAGAATTTATTGCAATTTTTATACATAAGTACCTTTTCCCACCTCTCAGGTCTCCTCGTCTCCCACAAGTTAACAAAAATCACATCTTAATTGCAAACTTTCTTGTGCAGGTGCAAATGCCAAATGCTTCACCATGTACACGCACGCTTGGTGAAGAACAACCTGTCTGCTCCAGTGCAGACCCCTTTTTTCAGGAAAAAATGTATTTAAATTTTTTTATTTTTATTTTTTTGTATAAAGTCGTAAAGTCCTCATCTCCTTCCCAAACCAGATTGATCTTAGTGATGGCGATGAGGATGTGTTCAGATTGCAAAAGTGTAGTCAGAACTGCCATGTTTTATTTTCTTGCCGACCTGTCATAATTTTATTTTTGTTTTCTTCTTTCTGAAATAGATTATCCATATTTAGGCCTTCGCAAGTGAGGTTTGGAAAAGTACCAAACATATTCAGAAGCACAGGACGGCCAGCAAGCCGAGGATTATTGTAGCTTGGCTGGTGCACACCAGCTTTTTTCTTTTGATTTTTGAATAC